CAGTTGGATTCCTAAAGCTAAGGCTGTGAGCTGTTAACAACGAATTCAATCAAAACCATCTGACAGACATTTCTAAAGCAGTTCAGAAGATCTAAAATGATATCTTTCTCTGCAATTCAGTGAAGGGGTCAAGAAAACTAGTAAAATGAAAATGTGAATGGTAATAGGGAAAATTGAACTTATTTACACAAAATAATTTACAGTATAGATTTTCAAAAAACTTTCCACTCCCCTTCTTTCTTTTCTTCCATGACCTGAATTTTCCTTCCCACATTTGATTGCAAACACATCTGAAATACAGCTATATTTTAAATAATGACATTAGAGAAAGTCCTCATGTAACATGCTCGGTAAATGTAGAGGCCTGATTAAAGGTAACCAGTATTTTTCATGTCTGTTCTACCATGACTGTCTATTAATAAGGCATGAGAATTTTATAAAGCAAACTTCTGCTGTTACAGGTATTGGTAGAGAACTTAGAAAAAAACAAAGTAATAAAGTATATGGAAGCCATAGCAAATGAAATACAGTGTTCTCTCATTAAGTAAATCTGGGAAGGTGGATCTCAGAACTTGACTCAGTTTTTTGCTAAGAGTCTAAAGTAAGGTACTTTAATTCATGGAAATCAAGCTTTGATTTAATATGCAACCTGACTCTAGACAACGCTGTTTTGTTAGGGAACTCACTTCTTTAAATATCTCTTGGATGGGAACTCATCTGAATCCAGTTACCTTCACTGATATGCCTGTGACTGAATAAGCCTCATCATGACCTTGCAAATTTAATTCTTCAGTAGAATAATGATGAGAATTTAAACCATCCATTTTGCTCTAACTTTTCTGTACTCTTCACCTTAAAATTACTGCTTGGCATTCAGATCCTCTTTCCCTACCTCCACAACTATTTTTGTTTCGTTTTAAAACCCAGAGATCATGATACAGAGAGAATATTATTGCAGTTTTCCCCTATGGGGACTACCATAAGGGCCTATCAATATCCCAACACTGCTGTGCTCTCTATATATGCCTTTTTCCTTACCCATCATTGACCTGACCATGTCCCTTTGCAGTTACTTAATAACTGTGAAGTCTTTGCTGAGAGCATGCTGTTCACAAAATAGGTTTCTCAACCTTAAATATACAATAGAAATACCCTTTGTTTACTTTACACTAGTCATACCAGTGAACACAATTCATATTTGCATCTAAATTTCTATGCAGATGCAAAGTTAACTTAGCCTCTAGCACTGTACAGTAGGAATGGGACCAATGATTATGCACAATTATACCACTGTTTATGACCATAACTAGGAAGTGGGTGAACTTGTTTTATTTTCTATAAATCACACTGGTTCTTCTTTTACCTTTTTCTCTTCCCTGTCCATGTACCATGCAGTTTAGATTCAAATGACTGCAACAGACAAACTGTTAACTAAGTTATTCTTCCATTTTGTGATAATTGTGTCCTTTCCTAAATAATTAAGTTATCACTTAATGGAATAAACAGATTTTACTGTATTTTTAAAGTTCACTGAGGGGTCTGATCCAGATTCAATTAAATTAATAGTCATCATCTGAGAAATACCTATGGTCTTGGTAACTTCGAACAAAAATTACTCCATCTAAAATTCTGCCATGGCCTTCTCAGAAATCCATGGAGAATTCAGAAAATCTAATCCATATTCGAAAGCTACCCTTGGGAATAAGCTGTGTCCATGTTTGTTTGGTCTACACCAAATACAGGCTGGGTACTTTATCAGAATGACAAACAGCATTCTTGCACTGATAAACTGTTCTATCAAAGAAAGAAATGCCCTGCATTTTCAAAGGTCTTGCTTATTGCTTCTGTCTGTGCTAGCAGTTTGCTGTCATGAACATGGTAACTCATATTAGTAGTATTCATAGTCAGAATGAGGAGGAAACTGGACAACAAAGCTACAGCTTCTCTTGCAGGTCCTGGTAAGCCAATAAAACATTAGTTGGGAATCTGTCCACATGAGTCACTGCATCCAATTCCCACTCACACTGCTTTACCCTGTGGTTCTTCCACCCCTGGCTACGACTCCCTGTCTTTCCAGGCTTTATTTCTTACAATGCAGCTTTTGAAGCTATCTTCGTCCTCACCAGTGGTGTAGTTGTGTCCAGCTGCTTGGTGTACAAAGCCCATCGGGGCCCTACTCGTGAGTTGCATCGTGGGGTTTTCTCAGACGAATATGTAAGACGTACAGAGGAGGGCTGCAAAAATGTTCGGGCACTTTTAGATACTTATTTTCATATGTAGCCAAAAAGTATTTTAATGTACATATTTCATCCCTGAAGAATTGCAGCTATCCTATATTTTCAGAAGTTAGGGATCTTTTTTTTTTTCCAGAATATTGTTATAGGGTACCACTAAATACCAAGAACATTTACAAAAATATCAAACGAAAAACTGATAGAGGACTATTCATAGATGTAAGAGCACAAAGTAATACTTTCATGCTTTAAAACAGATTACTTTTACAAAAATGGGACCATAATATTAAATAGGAAAGAAAAAAGGAAAAAAGGCTATTGATTAATGAAGTTTCAATAACAATTCGCTAGAAGTTACAGCACACATAGGTGTACATACATGAAACTAATGCTAAAATTGTTATAAACATTTATGTAATT